TATTTGAACCAAGTTTGCAGAAGACCTAGAAGTGGCTAAAGACAATCAGCTTACACTGAAGGCTGCGGCTTTGGTGTTGGATAACAGTCTCATGAGAAAGTATATGATACACGAAACATACATACTATGCATAATAATACTATTACTAGGGGTTTCAATGTTCACTGACGAACACAGCTGCCATGCCCATCCCTGAGCCAATACACATGCTGGTGACGAACACTCGCTCGTTACGTTGTTTCGCAATGTTGAGACCAGTAGCAATTTGACGTGCTCCCGCTGTGACGAAGATACATCAAGACATAATTGGTACGCAAAAGTTACGAGACACGTACTGCATCCAAGTGGGTGTCCGATCGCGATCGCACCCCCATTGACATTCACCTTGTCAAACGACAAGCCAACCTTCTGGATGCTGTACACAGCCTGCGATGCGAAAGCCTCATTTATTTCGTAGAAGTCAACATCGTCCCTGGAGAGTCCGGTTTTCTCCAGGACTTTAGGGATGGCGTACGCCGGACCAACACCCATAATACGCGGTGGCACGCCCACGACTGCGGAGGTGACGTATTTGCCGACAATGGGAAGACCCAACCGCTTGGCAACGGAGCGGCGAGCAAGGACTACGGCTGCTGCACCGTCAGATACCTGTGAGGCACTTCCTGTATCACGGTTAGATGGCAAAGTCTAAAGGGGTATCACAAAGAACCCACCAGCGTGCGTCGAACCATTCTTCGTAAATGCGGGCTTAAGTTTTGACAAACTCTCTGCGGTGACACCATCACGAATACCATCGTCCATGTCAACGATAATCTCAGAAACCTTTTCAGTCTTCGGATCGGTTATCTTGACTTTCAGAGGGACAATCTCATCCTTAAACTTTCCGGCTTTTTGAGCGGCAGCAGCTTTCTGATAGGACTCAGCTGAAAACTTGTCCTGCACCTCGCGAGAAATGCTGAAGTCGGAGGCAACGTTCTCAGAGGTGATGCCCATGGGAATCAGACAGTCATTTGCTTCTTGGTTGGTGAGGACCTCATCTGACAAGCCATCAGGCAAGGATCCAGCGCCATATCCAAATGTCATGGATTCAACTCCAGAACCTAGAGGACTCCTCAGCAACGAATGCTGAGATACAGAATCATTGCTTACCAATACCGATGTCGATTTGTCCAGCGATGATTTGGTTTGCAATCTGATTGACAGCTGCAAGACCAGACGAACATTGACGATTCAAAGTATTAATTGGAGTTGTGTTTGGAATTCCTGCATGAAGAGCGGCCATGCGAGCAGCATTGGCACCACCACCGGGAGGTAGGACATTTCCAACTGCAATGTCCTCAATAAGGACGGGATCGACCTTGGCTCTAGTATAGGCAGCTTTCAAAACGCCGGACAAGATCTCCTCTGGACGAGTATCTTTGAAACCACCTTTCCTGCCCTGTAATTGGTAGAGTGAGTCGCACCTCATGTCTGGTCTCTACTATGACAGTGATGATACCTTGGTAAGAGCAGACCGCACAGCGGCTACAATAACGACATCGTTATCATTCTTAGCGAGAAGCTTTGCTCTAGCGCTTGAAGATGCCATAGTGGGGTCGAAATTGAGTGTGGAGGAAGCGTGGAAGGCAACCTTAGTAATACCGTTGCGCGCAAGCATGTGTTTAATGTCAACCAGACACCAGCTTAGTCATCCAAGTCTGGGTTACACATTTTACATGTGTTTCTTTTGAACGGTTCTCTTCACAATACCATGTCTCAATCTTATAATCACCTGCCTGCGAGCCATGATCATGAATCGCTTACTGGACACTCTGTAGTATGCTGTCGACCTAAATTCAGAACATCTATCTATCCACGACGTATCCCTCTGATGATTTTCCAGATCTAATCATAGCCAGCCACAGGTCAGACAGACACACGGCATATCCCCGCATCGTCGTGTGAGCCGCTCGCTAGTAGAGTCCTATCCGCAGAGATATATAGGCCATGGAGCAGTCGGCGGCGGGGCAGCGACCCACAATTAACTTGAATATGTGTAGACTTGGATGTCGGTCAAACATCACCATCGCATCCGCAGGAAAGATCGATATGTAGCACGAGTTGTGGTTGATATATATATGACCGCGATTCAAGAACAGGTTCATCAAAAAAAAACATTTGTATCAATTTGTCCGAGTATGTTTCACTCTGACTTTTCACTCAATCCATTCACCTCACCCATATCGGATCCGCAGTGCGAGAACGAGGCGCGTCTGCCTGCACAGGCTATTGGTTATTCTGCTCAATAATGAAGATGACTCACTTTACGACCAACATTCGGTCACTTCATCAAACTGCGGTGGCGGCATTCTGATAGCTCGTACTTGAGTCATGAACGCCGTATTTCTTTTAGTTTCCTTGTGACGTATGTCCAGACAGCCGCAGATATCGGAAAAATCTGCTGCGGTCAAAATTAGGAATTTGAAGGAATTTATTAATCTTGAACAAGGTAAAGTTTGTCAGGGGTATCCAGGCTCTCCAACATCAAAAATCGATTGCCGCATATGTCAAGGCTTAAGCGCTTATAGCTGAACTTTCTATCTGCGCCAGACTATGACTTCACCTCCAATCCTCTCAGTCGCCATCCGTTCCTTTGACTCATCAGCAAGTCCGATGCTGGAGGATGAGTGATGATGATGCCCAACTTGTTCGAGAGCCTTCTGCAGCACTTTAGCTCATCGGTTTGTCTGCTCCAGGAGTTAGAATAGGGTATCACCAAGAACCTGGTACACGAGAAATACTAACTTTCAGCAACAAAATTCTTTACGGGGTACGTCAATCGGGTGTTCATGCTTGCATTCTCGTGTCTAATTACAATTCATTACGATAGCGATATTGGTCTGTTCATATCTTTTGGCCCTTCCGCGATCGTTTCTCCTATCTCTCAGGTGAGTCGAGACGGCACTCGACGTGTCGACGATAGTGCTATTCGTGCGAGACTTTGTTGGCGGATGAGTTAGCTATTTGTGTAGTCGACAGGATTCCCGCAGCCCCATTATGCTATGATAGGTAATATAGTGCAGGTAGTGGCCTGAAATTCTTACACTTGTTTGCACCCTAGCCTTTCCCCACCCTCTGTCTCCTGGCAGACGAGTGCCTCGGCTCCCCTGCAGCCTACTGCATGCCTGGAAATGGCATGCTAGGTGTGGGAACCGTTCCTTTTCTATATTTGTGCTATTCTGATGCACTCTTGCCAGGGGGAGACTTGTCGTTCGGAGGCTCTCATCAAAAATTGGTCGGGGACAGAGGTGTCGTATATTCTACCTTTATGAATTCACCAAAAGGCAAAGCCTTGCAAATGGGTGGAAATAAAATGTCGCTTTCTGCATTCACTCCAGAGGCGCATTTCGAATGATTTACGATTCGAACGTAACATATCTGACTCACGTTCACTGGACTGTCTGAAACCTGAAATAGAATTCACACCAAGAAGGGTCCGGGAACAATACAGTCTGCCACATATGAGAGCGATTGCAGCTATCCCTGATGTTGGATTTGTCGCAAGATTCTATGTTCTCGCCCCCTTCGGCGAATATCGCGTCTGGCTGTGAAAAATACTTATACCCTCAGAATGCACGTTTTTAAACACTTGATGACAACTTTGAAGAGAATCAACATTGCAGCATCCACTACGCGAGAATGAGGGTAGATCCTTGAGTGTGCTGTGTGCTATGCTGAGCACGCCCCATCTCGAATAAGCATGAGAGTAAGCCTGAGAGTGGGGCAAGTTCGCTGCATGGTGATAACCAAATTTGCTGCCTTCCAACGATCTAGTGGTACCGTAGAGTGGACATCTGCATCCCGGGTTGTTGGTATACTACATAGTACATATTGGGCTCGCGGAATCGCTGTAACGGGCAGAATTCAAGTTGGGAATAGTTTACCGGAAGTTTCCGGTATCATACATCATTCCTCTTTCTACTAGCCTTGGTTGTTAGTCCACTAGGCCCAGTCTAGCAATATTTGCTCGTGCCACCGTACTCATTTGCGGAATTTGAGGCGTGCGGACCTGGGGCCCCGGGGGATGACCTGGCCATTTTAATCCTGCACTTTCAATTCAGTACCGTATCAGGGCACTCGATTCAATACCGTATCAGGACACCACTACCCTTACAGTTCTCATTGACCCTGCGCAACATGGTAAGACTTATTAAAGATGCAGGTGGCTGCTACTTCACTGCAGCGAATACGCTTCATTCTGATCGTCCCAGAAATCCATAATATGGTGGGATGGTTAGGACATCAGTCCAACTGGTAGGATACTACTGGTGAGCTCGGAAAGAGGTCAATTCGGAAATGCTCAGTGGCGCACAAGATAGCTTGTCATTCGAGAAGGTCGATGTCCGATCCAAGCCATTTTGTGCTGTTGCAGACAATGCAACCGATGATACAATGTATCATTGTATGATGATGGTACAGGGTGAGTTAATACAAGACGTCCATGTCATTCAACTCACATGATGACACGCAAGAAGCCAAAGGGATCTGCAGTGTTACGTGGTACCCACGATGACGCATGTAGATAAGGTGCGCTAGCAAATATTGTGATCCATGAATTGTCTCAGCTCTTCTACATTGCAATCCCCGACGATCACATTGCGCATTTGTCCATCTTCGATATGGCATGGCATACGTGGCTGATTGGGGTTCTTATAATGCGGTCTCACTACTGTGCTAATCAACCATCATGGCGGAACATCAGGATCAAGTACCTCTTCCTAGCAATGGCGTTCGTGACTCAGGAATTGATGTCATCATTGTTGGCGCTGGCTTTGGAGGTATTGCTTGTGCAATCGAATGTAAAAGAAAGGGTCACCGGGTGATGATCCTCGAGAAAGTGCATGAATCGAAGCAGCAAGGTCGGTGATTATCACACACCTATTATTCTTAGCTGATGGCGGAATCAAGGCGACGTGAGTTTGTGGTGATCCGCAGCTTATGCTAGGCTGACAAAGTACCAGATGCTGAGCTTTGGCATAAATGCTGGTCGCATCATGGCCAGTTGGGGCCTTCATGAAAAGTACAAAAATGGTCTTTTTTCTAATCAAATTAATTGAAAATGTGACAGATTGTGGCCCATCTCCCGTCTCTCGGACGAACTTCATATCCATGATTACCTCGGAGGCCTCATTCATATGCAAAAGTGGTACCTGCCGCTCTTCGGAGCGTTCTCCTACAGTGGTTATCGAGCGCTTATTCACGAAATCCTTGTTGAGCATGCAAAGTCCTTGGACATCGAGATTCGCATGGGACATCAGGTCGTAGAATATTGGGAGGATGAAGCGAATGGAAAGGCTGGTGTCAAAATCCAAACAGGTGAAACGTTTGATGCCGATGTCGTCGTTGGTGCAGATGGAGTGAGGAGCTTGGCTAGAAAATTTGTTAGTTGTAAGTTTGAATTTTACCCCACCAGTCAACTTACCGGTCAAACATTGATAAAGGGGTACAACGACAACCCAAAACCTTCTGGTTACGCTATTTACCGAGCGTGGTTCAGTGCTGAAGAGCACGGTGCTACGACAGACCCATTGACAAACTTCCTGACCGTTCATGGGGATCAGTTTTACGCGTGGATTGGTAGGTGGGGTTTGTCCACCAGTTTTTTCTTCATTACTCATCCCTTGTAGGTAAAGACATGCACTTTATGGCGGTTTCTGTCGGCGGAGGTAAAACTATTTGTTTGCTCATCACTCACAAGTATGCAAATCGTACTTCTCATGATACTCAGAGCTAAATAGTAAAATTATAGAGATAACGCAGCTGTTGATGGTGACTGGTCGTCCCCGGGTAAGATAGAAGACATAGTCGACCTTTTGAAAGACTGGGACCCGCGGTGCGCTGCAATCGTCTCCAAAGCTCCTTCATGCATCGACTGGAAGCTTCTTGTACACGACCCTCTTCCTACTTGGGTCAGCAAATCTGGTCGCGTAGTATTGATTGGCGATGCTGCTCACCCATTCTTACCGTAAGGAAGTACGGCTGATTGATGCCGAACCCGTTTACTCACCATGTGGTTGGCAGATCAAGCGTGCAGGGCGCATCTCAAGCTATTGAGGATGCCACAACTCTAGCAGTTACCTTGAATCTTGCTGGTAAGGACAACGTTCCACTGGGCACGAGGACATGGGAATCCATACGGTATGTGAAATAATTTATCCCCAAAAGATGTGGAGACTTATGCGTCACATTGTACAGGTACCAACGGGTGCGTGATGCACAGCTGATTGGGGAGACTACGCGTGATAAATGGCATGGGGCCAAAGCTGGTGACTCCGGGGAGAGTTTTGAGCTTCCCGTACCAGAGTGGTTGGTAGCGCTCGACGTTGAGGCACACGCATATGCCACCTACGACAGAATAGCTCGGTCTATAGTTGAAGAGGGCTATCGTCGGCCAACTCTTTCTGGGGAAGAGTTGACTGAACAGGTCAAGGAAATACCATAGGCTGGTCTGCGAATAAGAAGCTTAGTCACGAGTTTTTTTGCATTGTTGAATATCCGTTCTTGAACATCACTTTCTGATCGAATGTCATCTTTTTACCAAGATCTCTTCAGCGGATCGCTAGTGGCGCCGGCTGATAAGAATTAATTAGGACTCGGCGTCCTGTGGCCCTCCTGAATCACAAGGAGAACGACTGAGTTGTTGCAAGGATTAATTCACATGAGAAAGCCGTCGTGTCTCCACGATCCGACAGACGAAGCATTGGATTACCCCTTTTTAATGAAAAGTGCCTGGTTTAACTTGTCGTTTGATAGGCGAATTTAAAGGGACTGCTCTACCTCAATGGAAAATTAAATAAGAATGAGAAAGAATATGAAGCATCATGCAAACTTCTATCACGTGAAGACCTCCACGGATCAAGGTGCTAGCCTGTAGCAAATCTCTTGTTCGGGCGATTGTGCTGCCAACTGACCATGTCGCGTCGCGAGGTGAGTCGGAATTCGCCTTCTTTCCAAGGTTTAGCGAAGTTCCGGTGCTATGTTCTTGCGGGCCCGTACAAGGACCTCGAAGCACTCGAAGTGAGCGATTATCCGATATACCAGCAGGTGAGTCTTAACCGCACTAGGGCAACTTGAATACCAGCGGGTGCCCGATGTGCCATGCGTCTCTATGCAGTGTTCTAAGTATATCCTCGGAGTATGACCGTTGGGTGTTGCAGTAGACTTTGCAGGTCAGATGACAGTGGGCCAGCGCCGTGAGCCAAGATCTGCGACGACCTGTTGAAGAGACTAGGTACACCCGAGACGCGCCCCTTGCGATACTCCGGATACTAAGTTGTGCCGCGGCGTCAGTGTCAACAGAACGGGAGCTGTTGGCAAAACATTCTCATTGTATGGTCCACCCAGATTTGTCAATGATTCATTCCGTGGAAACAAAAACGTTATCTGTAACGCGCGCTATAGGCGTTGACAGTATGGATCCGTGCAGCAAAGGAGATTCCCGGTATAGATGGTTTCATCGGCTCCATTAAGTCAATGGTAGTCCTACGGACTGGGGACATACGTGTCTGGTCAAACGTTGGGCCGACGGCAACCCGAGGTTGTATCACGTAATTGTATCATATCTGAATCGGTGATTGCGCGCTCCGGGCCGTTGATGGGTGGGGGTTCCTGGAACGGGGGCTTCCGAGTGAAGAGTTTTCACATAGGCTTGTGTACTACTTATCTTCGATTGCAACGCATGCTGCGTTGACATGTGTGGCAATAATTGGATATTGCTCTAGAATCTTTGCTTTGTTGCTGCGCATATTTGACAGGCTGAGCAAAGGACCTGTCAAGTACTGATCGATCAATGCGATCAACTGATCTTGTTCAAAAACGGAAACTGCCACTGGATAACGCGGAACCAAATCATATTGATCGACGGTTTGAGGGGTATCTTCCTCTCATGGTACAATGTCCTCCAACGAAAGGGATGCATAGGAATACAACAAATCTCCAAAAAATCGTAGGGTTACATGTACTATAGGCCGTTTTGCGATTTTATATACGAAAACAATACGAATACTGCGAATGGTATCTGAACTCAAATAATTACGACGAATGCGGTGACCTGATGGCACGTTCTAGCCATTAATCCAAGAAAACGGACTAGTCGAGTAGCGAATAAGCAGGCATAGAAGCATGAACTTTTAGGTTATTCGTTTTCCTCCACGGAGCTCCGGGCTATCACGGGAGAACGTTCCTCCATTATGCCACGGCTTCATGGACGCTCGACGGACGCATATCTACGTGGTGCAAGCGGGGAGGAGACCGCTGACGTCCACTGTCATGACTGCGGTCTGCTGACGGAGCGGAGTAGGACGTCCGTGCAGCTGGAGCATCTATCCAAGATTGGATCTCCGGCAACGTGTTCGGGTGTTGTGATCTCCTTGAGTCAGGTACAGACTGAAGAGGGGCAATGGAAGGGTGGGAAAAATGGTAAGGCGCCAAAGTGGGAACGTGAGTGGAGATTGGAGGTAAATGCGTTGATTGTGGGGGAGTCCTTGGCCGCATTGCGGTCGTCGCTAAAGCGCCCCTGCGGTGAGGAAACTGATCCGGTCTTGACCGTCCATGAGTGCGCTCAAACAAGCCACACTTGTTGCACAGCTGCGAGAGAACGGAATTTAATTATTGTACCGATCAACGCATAGAGGCAAACTTACAACTTTTCCAGGACTCAAGTTAGAACGGCGCCACGTCGATGTGTCTGTGGTACAGCAATTGAAACACCTTCTACGGATACGGTCGCTTAATTTTGTAGCAGCATCGTCTGTATATCCAATGGCATGGTAACTTTGACCCGGAAGTGGATACGAAAGCTGTGGATTGTCACGTCCACTGCTCGCAGCACTGTGAGCTAACGCGGGACTTGTATAGGAAGGAGACACATGGTATGGGTGAGAATCATGGGAGTATCTGTGCTCAGGATGTGGGCGAGGGGTATAAGAATAGCTGTGGGAGACTCTTCCCGAGTCTCGGACTGGGTCGTGGGGGTACGGTCTAGACTGCCGAGCCATCTGATCTTGGGAATAATAGGCATCAGAGTAGGTTGAATGTGAATCAACAGAACGATCAGTGGGTGATCGGCGTGGCGCCGGGGAAGAGACGGATGAACGGTCTAATGATGAGACGGATAACGAAGGGGAATGGGACAAGGTTGCAATTGGTGGTGGAGTGGTAGGCCTCCTGTATGAATGATCATAGTCATAGTCATAGTCGCGACGATGACTAGGAGAGGGTTAAGATAAATCAATGGAACAAAAGTAAATGATGAAGAGTACGTACGAGGACGGCATTGGGATTGAGTCAACACGGTGGGGCATTTGAAGAGGAGGAAGAGGATAAGTGGGTGATGATGGATGATGTTGAAAGACAAGGGAGCGCTCTGATTTATGGAGTGGCGAAGATGTCGAAACCTGATATCAAATCAACATCAAACTTGGCACGGCCATAGAAGTATATAAAAGAACTAACACGGCGCTGATCTAAGCTGGGGTCTTGAAGTGTTAAATTTGGAGTTAAAGCTGTTTCCTGAGATCTTGATTCTGAAAGTGGAATGTTTATAAGAAGGGGAGAGTCCGGTGCAGGAGCGGGCAGTCGGATATCAGGAAGGCGATGATCAGAGCACTGATGATGACGAGATTCCCTATATATAAATTGTTAGTATATAGGACAATTGATAGAATAATACAAAGTATTCGAGTACTTGCCATTCAACTTCGTCTTTCGGCAATACGGCAACGTGATCCGACATAGGTTCAGGTGAAAGGGGAAGCGGAGATCCTGTTGTGCTCTCTGGAGAAGAATTCATTCTTTTTTTCAAAGTAGAAAGAAGTTGAACTCACCCCAGTAAAACAGTTTCACTTTAATTTTATGTATTACTTCAACTTGTTTTACCTATAATTACTTTTGGTAATCGGACTTTCAATAATAGACCTAACTCGCGGCTCATGCGGCTCGCTCTCACCGCGCTCCTGCAATCTTTCGATTAACGCGAATCCCCGCGACTCCCCTCGGATTATCTCACCAACGTGCCAACCCCGCTCACCTCCTCAATACAAATTCTCATCATGATTGATACTGATCAACTCATCTGAACACACCAAAGTCTTGTCTGCCTCGGAATGATCAATCAGGTCAATTGTCTTCAACTTTCGACCTGCTGTGATCCAGTGCCGCCTTTGTTCTATATTTGCTCCTCGGGTTATCATCTTGATCGCCTACCCTATCACAACGACCCTGTCCATCAATCAGATTCCGAAGCTTTCATTTTTTGATTTGGTAGACTCTAAAATGGATTTCTCCTCTTCGTGTTCATGTTACAATTGGCTGATAGGCTGAGTCGCTCTAGTACTAGCGCCCGTCTCACTTTCCCGAACAGCCCATCATCACCCGATTTCGTTACTCCTCCCCGTTTGCATCATCGCCCATCATGATGGCCAATCATCCGGTGTTTCATGGAAGACGTCCCGTTGAGCCCATTATTTTCAACCCTGCAACTACCCTCACGTTCACGAGGTTCTCGTATTTTTTTTTACTCACACTCTATCAGGGCGGATCACAGCTGTGCGCACTACAATTGCCATTTAATTATGGGCCCCAGTTCTCTCGGGCATTTTTTCCCGCTTTACAACGACCTTTCGTTGTCACCCTTAGTTAGGTATGGTTTTACTTTCACATGAAAAACCACGGTCTGCAGGCTGCATATTTTGACAAATGACGCCTTTTTCAATCGCAACAATCCAGCGGCTTTTCACAGATAAGCTAGTCTGCCGTTTTGCCGTCGCTACTTGCCCCTTGTTCTTAATGCTGTGGAGGCACACTTGGCATAGCTTTATTCCCCACGGATTGAACCTGAGAGCATGCGAGTCGTCGCATCCATAAGGCACGTCCCTGAACAAATATCGGCAATAGTACTAAAAGTATTTCCAGGAACGTAACTGATGCTAAGTTGAATTCATTTTATTCTGTCTCAAGGACTGTAGCAGGTGGTTGTCTGCTTGGTTTCATATTTCGACTGGCCGATCACGATCGTTTGAACTGCAGATATCGATGAGTATCCTTGACACGGGCTTCGAATGCCTGTCGAAAATATACACGTCCTCCAATTGCGAGTACGGACGCCATTGTTCTATTTGTGGGTGTCTATTCTCTCCACTGACATCTATCGGGTGGCCAGGGCTAACTGTTTGCGTGTGGGCCGCGAGCTGCAGATCCGCACCTCAGCCCTAGACCACGGATAGTTCCGACTACAATGACTCCACTAGGTGTCACGGCAACGCCATGTTTTATTGAAGTCATCTCTTCACATGGCATTACATTGTTGAGCGATACCGCTTTTATGATGGAGGTTGATCAAGCGTTTAAACACAGGTGCTAGGAGCGGCGTGGGTTACGCCATCTTGTGCCACTGGCTTCGACTTTGTAAGGAATCGATCGACTGATGGGCTTTCAAGTTAGCCCCTTTGATCTAGCGTTTGGGATGCCATCGTCACAATGTTTTATCAAGGGTATAAATATTGCATCTCCTTGAACATCAAGATCATCCGCCTATTTGATCCTGCGCCTCTCCGTGTCTATTGATCACGATGCAAAGTGCAGCCGCTTGCCCAATATCTAAAAGAGGCACAGTAAAGGCTATAACCTTCACTGGTGGCAACGGCGCAGAGGCGATGGCCATCCTTAACCAACACCACGCCACACAACGGCGTTATCCAATTGAGTGATTCTCTCAACGGATGCTGAGAATTTTCTGTGTGGGCTAGAGGGTATTGGCGTCGTAACATCTAGCGCGCATACTGCTGTGAGGGATAATGCGTTCAGGCACTGCCTGCGCCACTACCAGCTGTATATGGAACGTGATAACGGACCCCGTTCCTGCATTATTCCCCACATTGCACTTCTGAAACGGAAATAGGATAACTGCCCTGGAGTGCCGTGCTGCGGGGCTGCTCTAAGGATGATGAGCGTTGCGCCGACATCACACGGCGTCAATGAAGAACGTGGAATATAATCCAAGAGGTGTGCAGCCGAATGGAAGTGCGCTGGAATCCCTGGGAACGTTATTGAGAGGACATGAGAGCGACTCGGGTTGGGAGCGATCGATCAGATTGCCGCTCTAGTTGTTATGAATCGTGATATCATCATCCGATACGGAGTTGTTGCACCGTATGTACCGGTTATCACATCTTGGACAAAAATACTTTTTCAATCTGATGCCGACGATGCGGCATCACTGATGAGGTCCTAGCACTACTCATACTTAATATCAGTCTCGAGCTAATCTCTAAAAACACACTTATCCTCAATGCCATGCTCAACTGAGCCCGAGTCTTCGAGAAAAACGAAGCCATACGTAAACTCCTCTAGTAGAAATGATAACGTTTCATCCTGTACGTTGAGACAAGTTGAAGAATGGGCTGGTGCATCAAAGAGATCCCGAGTTTGATAAGCTGCGTCGGCGGCCGAAAGACGGCCCGTGCCGCGTCGCCCAGTTCTTTAGCCGCCCTCAAGCAGACAGCTTGGCAATGACTCTTGTAATAAACCTACGCAAAACTCCATGCAGCAGCCAGCTGACAATTGAATCAGCCATTCCGGCACTTTCAGCATCGCGGATGCTGTGCGACACGTAAACTTCGTGTTCATCGTTGCAAAGTTCGAACAGCAAGAAACTTCAAATTTCTTGTGGCAAAACCCTAAAGACGCTCTACTGCGGTGGTATCCTGTAGTTTCTAGAAGTGCAGAAGGTGAGATCTGCAACTCGTTGACAAGTCCTCTCCCATACTATGACCTGGCACTATCCGTGATCCCGCGGAAGGGTGCCTTCAAGAACACAAATTCGTTGTGCGAGGAGTTCCGGGAGATCCTTCATTTCCTTTCATTTCTGTTTCCAGAATTTCAAGCCAGGGCCTCGGCACACCGTCAAGCCTTTCAACATAGGCACCTGGTCACGGGGAGATGAAACGTGCTCATCGTGCCAGAGATAAGATCACGCAACTCTTATTTGGGTGTTAATACCACGCGACACATCCAGATGATTCTGCCAAGTGGTCAAGTGTTTCACATGCCTCATGTACGTGCACAATAATACTCACCTTATCACTTATGCCGTATGCTGACAACGACGTCACTCTTCATCATATCCTGAACCTCGATGATAGTATATATGTTGGTACTGCATAAGCAATTTCTGCGTGTAGAAATAAATTCTCCAGCATCGCTATGTTTGCGATCAAGCTCAGCTTGGTGCTTTCGACGTTGCTGTCAGTGGTTTCCGGGGTAGCCTGCGTCACATACGGAATCAGTCCCAGGAATGGTATGCCAAGATTTGTGAGCTTCTATCTCAAAAACTAAGTAGTTGCTTTAGGACAGCCTCTGCCGGACTTACTATACGCGACAATTAATGATCTCCAATCCGGTCTTGCGGCTGGCACGTTCACCAGTGTAGATCTTGTGAATGTATGGGTGTCTGTTGGTTTCTTTCTACCCATTTTCATCCTCTTTTTTTCAAAGGCATACGTGGCTCGTATAAACGAGGTCAATCCGGTTTTGCATGCGGTTATCGAGATCAACCCCGATGCTCTTGCGATAGCGGCATCTCTAGATGCTGAAAGAGCGGATGGATCCACCAGAGGGTATTGTCATTTATTCTGATCTCCATGTTCCTTGATCTGATTGTCTTATAGAAATTTGCACGGGATTCCGATATGTGTCAAGGACAACATCGCGACACTCGATAAGATGAATAACACCGGTCAGTAACAATTACCGAATCTATTGTATCGTTTCAGCTCAATACATATTAGCCGGTTCGTTCGCCCTGCTCGGTGCGATTCCACCGAGCGATTCCACGATTGCGGCAAAGCTCAAAGCTGCTGGGGCAATCATCATCGGGAAGTGCAATCTTTCTCAATGGGCCAATTATCGTTCGTCGAATTCAACAAATGGATGGACGTCTCGTGGCGGACAGACTATGGGTGCCTATTACCCGATGCAGGACCCATCTGGTTCTAGCAGCGGTCCTGGTGTCGTTTCATCCATTGGTTTGGTTGCTGCTGCTGTGGGGACGGAGACATCTGGCTCTATCATCTCTCCTTCGAGCAGAAATAGTTTAACTGGAATTAAGCCTGTATGTCCCCATGTCTGCCTTGATCTATGGATCTGTATATACTGGATTATGTTAGTCTGTCGGGTTAACCAGCAGATACCTCGTTGTCCCGATCTCGCAAACTCAGGATACCATTGGTCCCTTGACGCGAACAATGATGGATGCAGCATACATCTTGTCCGTGATTGCAGGCGCGTTTGTTTCTGGTCAAACCCATTGGTCTAAAAATTAAAATTTCAACAGGTCAAGACTCTCACGACAACTATACATCTGCTATCCCATTCGAAACTATTCCCGATTATGCAGCCGAGTGCAATAGCAATGGTCTAGGAGGTGCCAAGATTGGAATCCCGCGTAATGCCATAACGGTGTCTTCAACCAATGGTCCAGAAATTACAGCATTTAATGCGTCCATCAGCGTTTTCAAGGAACTTGGTGCTACGATAGTGGATGATGCTAATTTCCCAGACCTTGCCGGATACTTGAACTTTACCGGCTCGAGTGTGAGGTTCTCGCACAATTGTAGTTTTTTGTAACTGATAGTGTTCCTCGCTCAGTACACTTCGGATCCGGTCGTCGGTGCTGACTTTGTCGCTGACATCGCAAACTACTTCAATGAAATGACGACCAACCCCAACGGTATCACGTACGTTGTCAGACTTTTGATCACTTTTCCTTGCTCATTTATATGCTCCCTTAAAGTGACCTGCAACAGCTCATCAACTATACGGAGACCTATGTTCCAGAGGACTACGTGCGTTGCTTGACAAACGGATATATTATTATTAACTAGGTATATTTTGGACAGCCTGACCGTAACGTTGCAACGTGAGTTGACCCATCATGATGGAATCTAATTTTCCTGATCTCTTCAAATCACATCAGATGGCTCAGTGCTGCGAGTCTTAATATTACCATGGGAGATGCCGACTATTATACTGCGCTACTTGAACAGTATTATTATGGATCCAATGCCAGTAAGTTCCAGCGGTTGATGCCATCTACAATGCATAACAACATACCCAGCAATCCTTGGGGCTTTAGAAAAATATGATCTTGATGCCCTGATCATTCCAAGCTCGATGTCACCGGGATATGCAGCCATTGCCGGGTACCCCATCGTCACGGTCCCGCTTGGTTACTACCCCGCCACCACGAACGTGACCTATAACTCACGCGGCACGCTGGTGTCCCTGGGACCGAACTTCCCGTAAGGCATGGTGTTCTCTACTTACGTATCGAGTGCTTATTTCTTTGTTTTATTTAGCTTTGGTCTGTCGTTCTATGGCAGGAGGTTCAGCGAGGCCACCTTGGTCAAGTATGCTTGTGCTTTCGAAGCTGCTACCAACGTACGTCCTGTAGTGTATTCTTACTACTCGGAGCTGACCAGTGGTCTCTTGTTAGTACCGCCAATTGCAGAACCCCTACATTATCCCTAATATTCAGCTCATCGATGTGATGTAAGCATCTATAGTAAATGTTTTCAGGCGACAAGATGGTTTCTCCCATCCCGCGAAATTGCTGTTATGAGCGTATTGACGTAAGGGATGGATAAACCCCCGAATATATCACATTGACTTGCATATGATCACGATAACTTACGTCCGTAGCTGCAATGTGGGGGATTACTGATAAGTCGTACTGATACCCGGACCGAATGCACACATCATATCGTTATTCCCAATCAACGTGTTCAGAATCAATCGCAGATGGCCTCGTGCTACATCAAATGTGAGGCATCGCATCGCATCGAAGTACATGCATACAGCAATCATAGTGTTTTGCAATTCTGTTTCTGATTTGTCGCCGCCGAGTATCGGATGCCCCGCGCAGCGGGGTTTGTTCGGATACATCATATCGATGAGATAAGTCCAAGGTGGATGAAATTGCTGTGCGGGGTAATCCCTCGCAAAACCAGTAGTTACGGTGTATACTGAGCCGAGGCTGATTGGTCTTTAGCTAAAGGTATTCAGACACATGAGATGCTGTCCTCCGTTAGCTGCAATCGACAGCCAACCCGCGGATGTGCATTAGTAGTTTTGCTCTTTAATTGTACATGCACAGGAGGTTGGCCATAGTACATACATGCCGGCATCTTAATTAAGATAAGTGCAAGTTGAGCAACTGCTGTACTTTGAACAACGATCTTGAGCACGATCACTTTTCCAGAGTATTGAAGCAGGGTGGAAGCACTACGATAATATAATTTGCAATTTATCCGGTCCGTTTGGTATGTGTAGTGGTTCTTGGGGGGCCTACAAGACAAACCATCAGCATGCGAATCGGCATCGACGATGTATGAAGCTATGGGAGATGTCCACCGCCGATAGTTGATGCAGTTCAGATCTCATAGACTTAACTATCTCGAATCTGGCCATCTTCGTATTGACGACAGTGCTATTCCACTCCCAGGAGGGTACACAGGATATCGAGGACAAAAATAAGGGACTCCTGAGTTATACAAGTACTGTTAGTTCCTTCCTTCTACTCAGATACAGGACTCACAGCATTCGCGAAGAACTTGTGTCCTATGCGCATGGAAACCTTTGTTTATCCTACTTCTGCAAATGCGGACTGGCCTGGACAGCTTATAGTGCTCCATGAATTAGTCGAGATGCAAACAGCGCGCTGATCCGATCAATGAACTGGGCAAGATGCTGATATCTCATCTACAGCAAGTTGAGATCTATGGGTTGGGATCAGTGATATCAGGGATCGGTGAAAGTCGTGTATTACAATTGGTTGTATTGGGGACCCTCGCAGGTATTCACATACATAGGGTCTCGCGATCTTTGAAGACACGCTCATGTCACGCCTAAAGTCGTACTTGTCTGAAGCTCTTGCGCACGCTGCCACGAAGGTGGTCATCAAAATTCCTCCGCGTAAGTCGGGAAACACGGAGAGATCCCGCTGGGTCGAAGTTCTTCCGGACGCGACACAGCATGCGCCAGAACCAATACGACAGATTACGAGCTGGCAGGGTACCAGCGTGATCTTCACACCTGAGATGTTCTCGTTAGATTCTTGTTCTCATCGCGCGGCGACAATCAAATACACGGTCACAGCAGTGTCGACAACATATCCGAAATCAAACCAACGGCTGCAGATCCCACACCCCAACAGCAGTGAGAAAAACACTGATATCGAACATATCCAACAAACACAGCAGACTGCGTTTTCAACTTCTATAATCTCCATTGATCCGTACATACTCCTGCGATCACGGATCAGCGCTACCTTCCGGAGGGAAAACACATGGAACTTACATAGCTGAAGTCACACGTCCAATATTGGGCGCTCTCACTGCCCAGGCCGAGATCCACCTTGATCTCAAAATCTTCTTCGCTCAAAATCTCCTTCGCGCGCACCTCATCCACTACCTCGGGCTCGCCGCGCACTAAGACTGGGAGCGGAGTACTACCATCTGCGGGAACAAATGTGACGTTCACGCGGTAGGGGTCGATGGGCGTGGACAGAGGAACGGAGCCAGTTGCTGCAAGGATACGACCCCAACTGAAGTTTTGTCCAATCAGCGGCAAATCACGATCAAGGGTGAACTGGCGTACTTGGCATCCTCACCATACAATGCGGTCTTTACCAGTGCCGATGTACTTATCTTCGATGCGACGCGATGCGCATCAGTAAATGTCGGTGCTCCCTGCACGGATTAGGCTGATGGAACAGGTAGATAACCCTAGGACGACCAACCTCTACAGACACCGTGACAAATTTGGTTGCGCCTTCACCATCACGAACCACAAGCTGAGCCAACTCAGCGGCGAAGGATGTAAGTTCCTCACGGAAGGCTGGGAACAGAGGATCGTGCTCTTCAATCTCCTTAGTTTCTCCAGCAGCAGCCCCGTTGGCAAGAACAACGATCGTGTCATTCGTGGACATCTCTCCATCCACACTGATAGAGTTGAAAGAACGGTCGACTGCATACGTGAGCGCGGACTGTAGGGCTTGCGGAGAAACTGCGGCGTCCGTCAAGATACAACCCAGTAGCGTAGCGTGGAGTTGGCCAGGGTTAGTGGGAGGACCCATGTCGGGATGAATCATGCCAGCGCCCTTGTCCATCCCAGCCATACGGAACGTCTGTCCGCCCAGGTTGAAAGTCCGAGCACGGAGTTTGGGGAAAGTGTCAGTGGTCATGAAGGCCTTCGCCGCACGCTCCCAAGCTGCGAAATCTGAACCAAGACTCGAAGGTACAAGAGACGAAATTCCGGAAAGAATCTTGGAAATAGGAAGATTTTGGCCGATCACACCTGTCGACATTACGAATGTATCATGGATGTCCTCGCTAGCCTCTGACTTGACTCTTTGGGGGAGAAGGGCATCGGTGGCCTTGACCATGGCCCAAGCATCTTCCAAGCCCTGTTTGCCAGTCACTGCGTTGGCACACCCGCTGTTTGTCACGATGGCACGGGCACGGCCAGCACTTTTTTCAAGCACATCCTGGCTAACGAGGACCGGGGCAGCCTTGAATGCGTTACGAGTAAAGCACGCTGCTGCGGAAGCAGGTTTTGAAGAGGTCGAAAGTATAACTGTAAGATCAAGGACAGATGGATTCTTTTTCACGCCACAATGTACACCAGTAAGACTGTAGCCATGCGGAAAGGAAGTATCTGGAAATTGGACATGGTGACGTGCTTTGGAAGGCGTAGGCTTGGCTACGAAAGTTGAAGAGGAAGATACAGAAGAAAAGCGCCGACAAACTGAAGGGCCAACCCGATTCATTTGGCAATCAAACTGACTTTGAGCTCAAGTACTGCTCAGAAGAGTATGTAGAGTGAAAGTTTGTCGCTGTGGTGTTCGGGTTCCAGTTTATAAGTCTTGACTGTACTTAGTAGTATTAAGGGCCGGACCAAGGCCAGACAGGCTCTAGAGCATGTGCATGAGCACCGGGTACCCGTCGGCGTGAGGCGCTATCTTACATAATATTGTTGAGCCCATGTACAAAGACACATGCATACGCGCACGACAGATCAAGGAGAAGGATGTAGTCTCATTGTGTGGTAAACCGCAACGCCATTATAGAACAAGTTCTACTGTCAGCTGCTTATACAAAACGAAAGCTTCTATGTCCCATCGCTCCGTTACTCGACAATGTCTGGTAAAGACATCGTCAAGTGCAGCACTAAACGTCTGCAACGATGACTAGTAGACCGATAAGACGTTTGACGACTCTTTATATACTCTGCAAAAAGTGACATGATCACGTGTTACGTGTTACTACTCTGTGACGTTGTCACGCCGCCCTCCATTCATCCTCAAGTTCAGCGACCTCGACACGGCGGAAGATTTCTAAACGGTAAAATGGGCTCAACAAGGTCAGTATCTACTTGGCTTGCTTCGTTGTGCCGTATCTGCGTACTTCGTCGGTGAAGATCTCACGGATGGCTTGGAATCGGATGGATGGCTTGGATGTGATATGGATGGAGTGCTTCTCAGTGCAAGGTCAAGACTGTACTCATGCTTCTCTTGATGCATAGACTATACGCCAAGGGACGCGTCCTCGGCCACAAGCGTGCTAAGCGCAACACTCGCCCCAACACCTCCCTTATCCAGATCGAGGGTGTCGCAACGAAAGAGGATGCCCAGTTCTACCTCGGCAAGGTACCCATTCATTCTCCTTTTCTGTAGTCAGAAATTGACTCAATTGCATGTATAGCGTGTAGCATACGTCTACAAAGCTAAGAGAGAGGTACAGGGCTCGAAGGTTCGTGTAATTTGGGGGTACGTCCGTCCGTTATTGCAACAGTAGTACAGTCGGTCTCATAACTATGTTTGTATTTACAGTCGTGTCACCCGTCCACACGGCAACTCCGGCGTTGTGAAATCAAAATTCAGATCCAACCTTCCTCCACGCGCATTCGGTGAAGGCGTCCGCGTTGTGCGTCCTCTCGTTTCCTCATTTCCCAACTCTTATATTGATCCGAATGTAGATGCTGTACCCCTCGACGGTTTGATTGTACCACCCTCCTGCTTCGTATCCTACGTATTCATATTGCGTATGACATGTCATATGAGCCGCATGCATCTTATAAAACGCATTCAAAGACACAGTCTGATTGGAGTGTTAAGTCATAAACTGCTCCTAATCAGTCCTTTTGCTGTTCCACAGCATGAAAGGTCATCAAACATGCGAACATCCGTAAGTTCATTTTGTGGGATCGGATAGTCTCCACCGCCCCTGTTGCAGCCTGCAGCAATATAGCTCGTTATTCAAACGCCGTTTTCCAAAAGAAGATTATATGTATGACAACGAGCTGATAATGTCAACCGTGCCCAGTGGCAGCGTTCGCAGATCTAGTGAGCTCCCAAACACATCATACAACTGAGCCGATAGCTTCACCTGCTGGGCAGTACAAACAGTCATTGTTGGCGTTCGGCCTCGCCAGTGATCATGATCATAAGACGTCACGGACTCTTTACCAGCACTGGGGCTGGTGTCTGAGATTTGTGCAGTGGCAGCGTGTACTCGTGCGGTTCGCCCATCCAGCTACAAAGCCACAGTTTCAGCACAGTCGTCTGTTGGGAAGGAATGCTTGGCTCCAGGAGACAAATACCCCACTCACAGATAGACGTTCGCAGAGATGGAACACAGGCCAACGTTGACATTCTTTGATACCTGGCAGGCGCTATAGGCAAATCAGGCTCCTTGTAGACTCTGTGACAGCCCACACTAATATTGGCGGTCAGTTCAACGAAGGGCTAGTCGCCACTGCAGGCGCAGGACATCAGCTTAGTAGACTCCATTTAAGAAGGCTCGCAAACCCTTCGTTTGACACGTATGTCTCAAATCGAGGTTGGCAATTGAGACGCCGAACCACCCCGAGTGCATATGAATACAGAGACAATAGTGACCCTTGGAAACAACACCTACCGAAATCAACCACATTTTCACTGTCGGAAAGAATTCAAACGATCCAATTTAGCCCTTCAAGCCATCAATGGAAAGTACTCTGGTATGTGTTATCATGTCGCAATGGGAGTGTCAGTTGTCCTAATTTGAGACGGCCTTGCTGCTTCAGGGCGCCAATAGCGATTATGGTATTCGTTCATGAAGGGCACGCAGGGGCATCTGCACATCAGGGTTGAGTCATTGACCCAGCTGGTCTATTTGTGACTCGATGAAAGACAATGCCCTGAGGTGCAGCGGGGTTGAGGGGGTCCGGAAAAACGCCCAGACGACTGTTGTCTAGCAAATCCATCACCTCTGGTTTTTATTAAACTTACACGGTGTTAAAGGGTGTTGATGGCAAAAAAGATGCACGGAGAAACGGCTACACCCACAGAAGATTGAAGAAGACCAAATCCAAGAAAGCCGTTGTATAATTCACCGTTGTAAACGGGCACCGAATAAGGCCATGAACAAATAATTGAGGAAGCGACCCCAAGAATGTTGGCACGGTAGTATGGAGCTTGTCTAAAGCAGCCCTCACCGGAATGCCACCCCGTTCTCGTGGTTTGGAGGGTGGGGTGGTGCTGAGGACAACCTGTTTCGTGCGTTTATACAAGGGCAGTGCTCAATGATGATTTGTGATGTTTGTCAGAACTGATTAGTGCACCCAGTTCCATCAGATTGATCCCGCAGAGACCAGCCCGATCACCTTCATATAGGAAACAATTGTGATCACCGAAGCATAACGTCCCGCATTCCACGGATAATTGTAATTGCAGTGTTGACAATGTCATCCAACGCTGTTCGCCGAGATTAAAACATCATTTTGTTGAAAATGTGCCAATGGGGCATTTGAGGAAGAATGCAGAACACCGTTGCAAGGTCAAGAGGACATAATCATCTCCCCAATCAAGATGGGCGGTCTTGGATCTTGATAGGGACGTGGGGCGCCTCGCCCTGCCTCGTCAAAGATTTGATATGGCTACCAACTCTAATGCCCTCCAGTAGTGCCTTGTGATGCACGAGCCGGATCTGGCATAGTATGGTGGTACGGACATTCCCGCCAGCACTTCAGAAGTTCAGCCCACATGGGGCATTCCAATAATTGAGTCACCCGGCAGCTAGCTATGGACGATCTGCGCCTAGTAATCAAACTCGTCGCATGTTCAAGTGCTTAGTGGTTTGCAACAGCCTGACGTCGGGGAATTTTGAACGAGTGGATAGGGCAGCAAACAATACATACGTTACTATTTTATCAATAGTGAGACGCCATGCATCTCACGGGCTGACAATATTGATGCATATAAGTTGACAGTGTTTTGGGAAGTCATTAGGGAGTCGTACTAGTTGTGTTGGCCAACGCGTGACAACAGGCCTCGCTGGATGATATAAACAGTGCTCAAGTCGGTTATGGGTGCTTTGCTTCGAACTTTGCCAGGACATTGAGGACGATTGACCCCAAAAATGGGAAGAGTTTATCACAGTCATCATTCCCTTCTGTACTTCCGAAGGACATTGTTAGGATCACTTCGAATACATTGATTGTACCAGGGCCGGTAGCGATGGTGGTGGAGTCATTCAATGGACAATTCGAGTATCGTGCTTGATAATAAATTGATGTCTTGTCTGTAAAATTCTCAAGGCGGCGTCATCTTGTCGACTTGCGAGACTTGAGGGCTTGAGTTCCTATAAGTGAGAACTTTGCAACGATTCGCATGTGTATTAAAAGTCAATTTTACGCCCTCGGAGTGTGTCCGGAGTTACTTACAAGAAGTTAGAACATGAAAATATTATTCGACTCCAGTACGCGCATCACACCCTCGGTCGAGAAAAGCATTTGCTGAGCAGTCATAAAGGACAGTGTCAACCTTGAGTTTTTCTTGGGGGGCAGTGAGTACGAAGCACGAAACACTATTAGGAGGTGTAGATGTCGGTGTTCGCGACAACTGCTATGCAGCTGTGCGGTTCACATGGCCGAAGGAAAGGCAAACTATAGAAGCCGGGGCAGCCGTCAGTTGGGAATCGGTATGTGGCTCATAAATTCATAAGGAGAAGAATTATCATAGAGTACAGCTGTCCAGCGGTGCGGCTCACATCGCCGGAAGGAAAGGCAAAGTCGTAGAAGCCGGGGCCGCCGTCAGTTGGCAATCGGTATACGCTTCATAAATTTATAAGGAGAAGAACTATCATAGAGGAAACCTTCGTACTTACAGGTAGATGCTGCGAAGGAAGTTTAACGTTCAACCTCCGTCATATCAATGTATCTCTTATCATTCCATCTCCATGTGTATTGCTGCAGAAGATTCTATTGTATTCACTGCATTTGACGATGTCAAAAATATACTTATTTGACACTGCACCACAGGCTCACCACACTTCACCGTCACCACTGTCCTATCAAGATAGAGCAAGGGCAGAGGGCGACGAACTCTTTCCGTCGTGATGCAAATATTTATGTAATGAGCGTTTCAGCTAGATTTCGCAGAGCAAAGATGGAGAGTTTGGAAGCTCCAGGTAAAGTGTAGCTGAAGGTCCACAGTGCTCGAGCGGTCCTCCGGATCACTAAGCGTCGCCCGTGAGCACAGCAAACAAGATGGTAAATAACAAAACTTGCGTTGCAAAATCTGTCCTTGAAGTCTTTTGTAAGATCGGATGATACCGCATTCGAAGGTATGGCTGGGGGTTGCTTATTCTAGTACACCTGCAGTGAATTCATGAGTAAACTGCAGCAAGGGGCGCATACAAAGAATTGGGTTGCAATGATTCATGGTAGTCAACAATATAATTAACATTATAGTTGACAGCGTAATGAAGAGCGCAAGCGTTGGCTGTGATGAGGGCGGATTGGTAACGACCGTGTTACATCGCTACATGTGTAGTGCAGGATGTCAATGAGGATGTATTCAGGAGGGACTAGCCAAGTAGAAAACTAGAACCAGTTGAGCCTGGAATTGACGAAGCTGAAAACAAATGACGCACGAGCAGAGCGCTAGAAGCGGGGCTGCGACCACCTTTGAGGAAAATAATCACGTACTACAACTGCTGAAATGCGCTCGGAAAGGCAGAAAATTCTCCATCGCAGAATCAGTATCGGGCGTGAGACACGGGCAAATTCGGGCTCCATCTGATGCACAGGCAAATCTTGGGAGTTGACGAAATGAAGACGTGATATTCATATCGGAGTAACTACATGGATGCGACCGGGAAAGTTACATAGTGATGTGCTGGAGTAGTTGCTCAACATGAGAAACAATAATATCCATGCGGCCATCTAGGATAGATAGCTTTTGGCGCCGGGAAGTAGCAACTGCACTATCACAATTGGATGCGGAGGATATATTTCGGAAGCTGCGGGGGTAAGATTAGGTATACACTACAGAGACGCCGGGATGGTATGCTGCCAAGGAAGGCAGGTATGCCGATAGGGATCTTTGATGCAATGGTGATGGAGCTAGTGTCCCGGACGTCTATGGAAGCGAGTTGGGTTAGCGTAGTACTATAGTAAAGCACGTAACTTGAAAAATGCACAATGCACGCACCTCTGCAGCTTAGAGAAAGACACCCATAATCCTTCAACCGTGCTCAACACCGTCAATCCCCAGTAAAATGTCGAATCTCATTCCAACCATCACACTCCTTCGTGATTTCGAAGATCATGAGGGCGTAACCGCGGTCGCAGGTTTCCCCGATAGACGACGAATAGTTACGGGCTCTCACGACAAGATGCTTCGTCTTTGGGACTTGGAGATAGGCATTGTATTGAAGAAGATGGAGGGGCATTGCACTAAGGTGCGGGGCCTGCAGGCATTGTCGATATCACGAGACGGGCGATTGATAGCGGTGATTGGAGCGGAGAAATCATCGCCTGGCACATTGAAAATGGAGAATATCTCACCCAAGCCATCGTAGCCCACCCCGGTAGGAGCTTCTCGCTGGATTTTTCTCCAGATGGTACGGTGCTGGCCACTGGTTCATGGGACGGCAAGGTGAAGCTGTGGTGCACCACAGCAAGTCAGGTAGTGAAGTCACTTGCGTTCGGTATTCGCCGTCTGGCAAACTTCTTGCCATCGCAATACTTGGTAATATTGGCATTTATAATCCGGACGTGGATCAATGGACGGTGGGTTGGCGTCGTGAATTATGCACGTGATCTTACAACGTTTCATTATGTAATAAAACAGCCCTCTTGGATAATGCCGAATTCAACTTGAGCTTGAACTTCAATGAACGCTTCAAGCTCAGAGCGGAGTCAAGCTTTGATCATCATTGCAGTTTGGTGAAATCCTTGAAGTGAATCTTATGATTCACATGATTCAGATCTATAGAGGATCTCTCCAGACCATAACAATTGCCTAGTCACCTCTGTAGATTCAGAGTCTGGGCCTTCGACAACCAGTGCAAGATGGTTAACTGGCGTAGTCGGACTCAATCCCCTCCGAGTCTGCACATGGGCAAATTTTGTGAACCTTACTAAGTCTTCGTCATCCAACAAAGCAATGAATCAGGAAACTACAGCACCAGCATAGCTGCAAAGGCCGGTGCTGTATACCTCGAGAGTTTTGATCTTGACATTGCTGTTCCGAGCAGCATTTTCCGTAAGTCCACTTCAACATTGAGACCCACGTCACAACTAAATCAACACCAGCGATGTACAAATCCAACTTTGTAACAGGGAACTCAAGAGGCCCAACTGCATACGTCTTCAATCATACTACTCACATACTGCTGGACGCCGTTGATATCAGCATTATAAATGTGACAGGAAGATTTCAACCAATCCCCCTGAGAACCTTACACAAGGATATACTCAAATAGTGCAATGGGTAAGTTTTTATATACTTCATGTACACGGTCTGGTGATCACTCGTTGATATGCCTTGGTCCTCAGCGGCTTGCGTCCCGGGTCGAGTGCCGGGTATGCAGCTCATTCTTCACATGTAAGCATGCTGGCTTACTAGATTTCCCATAATCTATATAGATACTGTCCGCGATACTGAAACACAAACTTTCAGTATTACTGCCTTTTGGCGCAACAGTTAAGCAGACGACAGTCTTGACTAAGTTACATCACATCGTCAATGTAAAATGTCGACATTGCTACCGTCGCATCCCAACCTTTATTGGCGTTGACTATATCTCCTCCGCATTTCCGCAAAGGAAAATACACATTAGTGAACGCCGGAGCTGCATTGCACAACTCAGAAATACCCGAGCAGTTTTCACAGGTGAAGGCACATGCAGCCAACGAAAATCCCTCGTTTGCGCTGGATGGATCACAGTGCTGATCAAGATGTTGTGGAGATGCTCGACGCCCATGATGACCCCTTACCCGTTCGGACCATGTCGCATCTTGAGCGACTTTGGGTGTTGTGGCGGGCCGCCTGCGGTGCTTGTTTTGCTCGTTCGTTTGCGCGCTCTTTTCTGGTATCTCAGGGTGACATGGTGCCCGACATATGGTGAGTCGCCGTGCATCGTTTCGTGGGATGAGTGGTCCAAGTTTGTCATGGTACTTATGGAGCCTGTCTATTAGACGGTGCCCTGAATTTGCGCTGGGCGCATCCGTCACTTTGATCGCGGCTTGATTGTCCCTCACGTTATTATCAATTTATATTTCCTCTCTTCGCCGATAAGATCATTCTATCTCCGCCTCGTACACCGCGCATTTTTCCCCCTGTCTCAGGTGGACTTGTTCCCAGCTTACCACTTCATCTCCTCTCATCACAACTATCTGCCCTGCCACCCCTCCCTTGCTTATATGGTGGTATCGACTTCGCGCTCCTGGACAATCATTTGCAACTCAATTAATCGAACAGTTTGCCATTGGGGTTCCTGGTTTGGCGTCAAAAGGCCGCCAGTGTGACGTATTGCGCTATCAAGATTGAACTTTGTAGAGACGGCGATTTAGCTGACTCATCGGTGAACGCCATCTCTTGCTTATTTAGCAAGGCAAGTTTGAATCTTGATCCTGCTTCATCCTAATTGGACCTTTAGTACTAATGTCCGCAGATACGCTTTCACTCCCCGCTCCGTCTGATGAGCAGGCGTACATGTATGTATCTGCTCTTGAAGCTGGACAACTGAGCATTCCTTTAGATTTTGGCTTGTGATCAACCGGATGAACCGATGGTTTGCCCCTTTGCATTCTTCCTACGTCACTCGAAGAGCAACAAACAAGTCGTTTTCGACCTAGGGATTCACAGAGACATAAAAGGATTTGCACCTGCCGCAACAGAAAGGTTCTCGCCTGTCGTAAAGCAGACGGTGGCAGAGTCTTTGGAGGCGGGCGGAGTTCGACCTTCCTCCATTGACGTGGTAGTCTTGAGGCACCTCCATTAAGATCAGCGAGCTGTTCAGCTTCTGAGGTGGTATGAATATCCTAACTTCCCTCAGCGTCGGAGATCCTTCCCCATTTACCACAGCCGAGTTTGTCCTCGGGGAAGGATCGAAGAAAGCTTTAGCGGACCCTGGATCCTGCCACAATCCTGAAGTCTTTTCATCCGTTCGTGTACCGGAAGACCGTCTACGCTTCATTACAGTTTCTGACCTAAACGTGGCAATCGGTCCCTACCCCCGCGCAATGGATATTTTCGGTGACGGTAGCATGTATATCATTGACGCATCAGGTTTCTCTCTACTGCATGCATGAGACTAGACGGAACATCACTTAGGCTTTTTTTGCAGGGCATGTTGACGGGCATATTAACATTCTTGCGCGCACTTCCCCAGATGGTGCTTGGATCCTGCTAGGTGCGGATTCGGCTCATCACCCTGATCTGATCACTGGGAAAATGTAAATTGCGTACCGTGTCGACGCGAATACGTGCTCGGTGATGTGCGTCCACGAAGATAAGGAAGCCGCGGAGGAGAATATTCGTAGAATGAGGTCACTGTTAGAGGTCCCGAGGGTGCAGGTTCTAATTGCACATGATATATACTGGTACGAAGAAAACAAGGGCAAAGAAGTCTTCTTACCGCACATAATACTGCCGCTCGTACAATGATGGATAGTATAATGACGGATTTTTATGTCTCTCCATTATTCGCGACGCTAGTAGCTTAGAACTGAATCGGGCACAAGTCAAATGCCCACAAACATGCGTTACGACCTTGGTCTGATGCGAGAATAGCCCGGTGGGCTCGAAAATTTAAATACTCGAACGTTGAACTCCCGAACCAATCGGCCCCGATTTGAAAAAAAAACTCGTATGATTTCAAGTATTTTCACTTTGATTATCCTCTAAGTGTAGCATCCCTGATCAATTAATTTGCCAGCCCGAACGCAAGTTAAAATATTACGCCTCCTAAAATGGTACAACAGATATTCAACGACTCGATAACGAAGTAGCTGTACTAAACGCACCTTCTCCAGCATGAGAAATATATTTGAGAACTATATAATCCGCAGTGAATCCACGCCCCGACTTCTGCGGAGGGCATTAAATCAGCAAACCAGCGGCGAAACAGTAGTTCAAAGAAAGATTGAAAACAGACGTTGATACGTTGACAAAGTCCCCTCTACCCGCTCATGTGGCGGCGAAACACCGACCCAATGGTATATTCCTGATAACGCCTACAGAACCCGGGCCAGCATCAGAGTCCGGCCAGAAGTCGATGTAGCTTGCTCATTGTATTAATAGCTCCCGACCTGGCCTCTGGCGTGAACGCCTTCTCCCTGATAGTGCTAGCAAAACCAATATTGCGGGCTGTGAACTTAAGAAAGACGGACTGAAATGGATCAGGCTCAATGAGTGACAGTCACTGTACAGCTAGCTCTCAGACATCACATGCAAGAAAAAACATAAGTCCAAACACGCACTGCATCCTTGACTTGAAAACTGAGCAATGCAGGAGTCAGAAATTATTGGGCGATTTGCACGAGTGAAGGCACTTGTAGCCTGGTACGCAATGCCCAATTCTCGTTGGGCGCAGAATATAAACGTTGTCAATCCATTTTGCTGAAGGAGGCACGGACACCTATCCCAGCTATTTGAGTATGGTTGCATTTCAACCGCGACATGTCACAGACACGTACCCAACAACAGATATAACGAAGGGATCGCAGATGACATCTGCGACTTGGCATGAGTGTAAAAATAGTAAGAGCTCAGGATGTGTTCCTCTATTGTGCGTACAGTGATAGACAGAATGGTGTGCTCAAACGCGACGACGTATCCTCAGTGCATGAGGAGGAAGAAACAGGAAAGGTCATGAATTATTCCATAGACATCGGCCATTAGGAATCTGTTCTTAAGGGCAATAATAGCTTCAAGCATGGCTGCAGCCTTGCCCCATGATGAGCACATGCGTGCCAGCTTAAATGGGATTGTGAACACCACAAAACCAGTCAAGAAACAGTTCAGGGGCAACAAGCGACAATCAGTGCTTCTCGAATTAGGAACTTACCGAAAGCCCTTTACCGCGAGGGAACGACCTTGAACTTCGAAGGCCTACTGCATAACATTTTTCTTGCCATTCGATAGCTCGCACGTCAACGGACCATACTAAATTTGAGCGAAGTCCTTCAAGTGAAATTCAATTACGGCTTCAAGTAGTACGGCTCTGTAAAAAGTGTAAAAAGCGCTCCCCGACTGAATCAGAATATCCTCGTGACAGGCAACGTCAGACCATGGAGGGCGCGCACCCAGATAATGTAGAAGGTATGCTTTACTATGCTGACATAGACGACAACAATCCCTTCCAGACAAACGCTCTTGCATTCCCGCTAGCCTCGCTATATTTTGTCAGAAACAACTCATCGTTGGGTTCTGTTTCAATTCGTCAAACCCTACCAAAAATAGATGAACGAAGAATATCACTCACTCGAAGGCACTGCCCGGTCCTTCATCCACACCTCGAAAACTGATGCTGCTTCGGACACGCTCAGGCTGCTAGGTACTGCCAGCCTCTCGAGGCCGTGGGCGTATTCTACGAGCTCCTGCTGCCGCTTGACATATTGTCCGTAGGGACGGTCATACTCGAGAGAAAGAGCCTCACGAAGCTCCACAGGTAGCGGGAATGTTGTGTTGCTCATTGAGAGCGCGCCAAAGACTGCACCACGGGCCTGATTTTGATTCTGTTCAGATGACGAGGTGCCCAGATTTTCACAGGCACTTACAAATGACTTCCGTCCAGATGCGTACTCGAGCAGAAGGCGTGGCATTGAAAGATGATACGATTTGATAGCCGAAAAATGTTGGTCACGATAGTGCGACTTGCAATATAATGCCTGGAAGTCATCAACCGCCAGAAGCACCGGGAAACTATGATCCATCCGTTGAGACTATGCTTGTCTCAGACACGGAGAAGACAAAATAGCTTACATTGTCTGCTTCCCAATTTCTTCTAGCACCGCATCAAGCACTGTCGGAGCATGACCCTGATCCTTGAGGCCAATATTAATGAGCTCCACGAGGGGTGTGCCAGGGGGCACCGGATGGCGACGTTCTATTTCTATCCCGGTCTGGGTGCGTAACTGTTCAAGCCGGGGTGTATTGACCTTGAGAAAGCGCTGAAGAGTTTGATAAGCGAAGATTGGTTGAAGGTATGTTCGAGTTCGCATGTCGTAGGTGTGGGCAGTTGTAGAGTTTACAAGATTAGTTGCTGCGGGTGATATTAGGAATTAGCTTTGTGACGGAAGTCTAGAAAGTACAGACCTCGAGGGATGTAGAGGACTAGCCAATCGCGAGCATTGCAGTACTGTAGGGCTTGCAGGAGAAGGAAACTCTTTCCACAGCCTTGGGGTCCGGCTGAAAAGATGTCAGTGAAAACCTGTGATAAGTATACTAGAAACATACTAAAAACAACCCTAGATTCCTTGCTGTTCTTTTCACTTGCTGCATCCAACTTGTTAATTGCGTCGATCGTCACAGAGCGTATAACAGAGCAGGGCTTGGAAAGTAGGCGGAACTAAAGAGCAGATTGATCATTTTACCTGTGCGTTAATGTGACATTGCACGAACCTCGACAAGGATATTCCTCGGCAACCCAAAGATACGGAATGGATCATTGTCATTATGGGGGAATTTGAGTGCTTGAGACTCGACGACCCTCGTAAGCATTTCCTGTTAGGGAGCATCAATCCAATATACACGGAAAAGAAACTCGAAGCATACGGGATGAAATGACTGCAATGTCAGGCTATCTGGACGATCACTCTCAAATAGCGGGTGCGGAAGTTGTGAGACGGGAAGCGGTTGGAAGGCCTAACGGACTGAAGTTGGGCTATGATGAATATTCGAAGAATGAGAACAGACCATCATTTTCTTGTCCTTCTTTGCAGATTCCATCTGACCCGGAGGAGTGTTCTTCTTCCCCTTAAATCCCTGCGCTACAGCCCGCATACGTTTCAAACGTTCAATATCAATTTAACTTGAACGCGGACTTACAAGCCTGCTTCACGATTTGTCCTTTCTTTGGCTGTGTTGCATAGCTACGCGTCTGAACGAGCGGACTCGTGGACGACGAAGCAAGCAGTTGACAGGAGACGCGCTGGCAGCGTACCGGGAGCGTTAACATTGCAAGACGAGTAAGTATGAACTTGCAGTGTATGAATTTTGTGCGATCTGAGTGCAGCCCCCCTTGGAGGGGTTATTTAAGATCACGTGTTCCGACGCGTCGCAAAAGTTGTTCTTTGTCACTTGATTTCCCAGTTTGCTTGTAAGTACAAATTCAACGTTTCGTAATGTCGCGGTTACCGCGCTTCAGGTCCTCTCCAGACCCGTCAGACCCGCCAGCTCCTTCTATCGCTACTACACTGGGTTTCTCCATGTCGACGTCGACGTTGGGCCACAAACGCAAAGCGGAAGATAATCTCGATGCAGAGGCTCTTGATCAACCCCGCAAACTCCCCGCAATTGGCAATGGCGCTACAGCTCGCCCTCTAGCTACCAGCCGAAGCGCGCTCAATAGACCAACTACAACCACAGATCCTGCAACGAGACAGCTGTCAGGTCCACAACGCCTCACGAGACCCGAACCACCGAAATTATCAACATCAGCACCACGGCGGACAACTCGCGCAACTAGCGCGCCACCAAAACAATTAGGCTCAGGACTTGTACGTCCTCCGGGGCGTGTTGTTTCAGGATCGCGTGTTGCTAGTGGAAGCGGATTACAAACGAAAGAGTTCCGTGACCTGAAAAACCAAGTCGCTTCTATCGAATCCGCACAGCTTGCTAATGCCGAAAAGCTAGCACAAACCATGGACGCGGAGCGCGCTAAAGTAGCCGAGCTCGAAGCAAACCATCGTGCTTTATCCCTCGAGCTCGCTAACGCCAAGTCACTTGAGCTTGATAAGCGGAGAGAGTTGGTGAGCGCAAGCGATGAAATCGAGAAATTGCGCATGAAGCATGCTAAGGAGATTATGGAGCTCGAGATGGAAGTGAAAAGTAAAGTACGAGAGGCAAGAGAGCTTGCAGATGAGTTGAGGATGGTGAAGAGTGATTTGGAGAGGGAGAGGGATAGCGTGTCGAACCTCAAGGCAACGCTGTCACATCAGTCCACCTCACATATCACTCTCAATGCGCAGATTAATGCTCTTCATGCACAGAAGGCCGCTACGCAGATGCAGCTCGATGCTGTAACAACCATCTCCTCAGACAGGACACTCGAGCTCGAAACCGCACATCAACGAATATTGGACCTCGAGCAAGACGCCAGGGAAAGCGAAATGGTACGCCGGAAGTTGCACAACACAATTCAGGAGCTCAAGGGCAACATTCGGGTGTTCTGTCGAGTTCGCCCTGTCCTCACATCAGACTTGTCACCCTCATCTTCGTTCACCAGCAGCCCAACTCCTGATGATGAGGAAAAGGGACGGGAAGCCGATATATCATTTCCTGACAGAAGGGACCACAAGGAGATTGTTGTTTCCTCTTCAAGCTCTAGTGCCATGGGCTCTGAGCGCAAAGAAATCTATAACTTTGGTTTTGACCGGGTTCGTTCTCTCCTAACAATGCTTACACAATCTTGAGGTCACTCCTCCTCAGGTATTCGCACCTGAATCAACCCAGGCAGAAGTTTTTGAGGAGATTTCGCTCCTCGCTCAGAGCTGTGTAGATGGATATAATGTCTGCATATTTGCTTATGGCCAAACAGGTTCTGGCAAGTCTTTCACTATGGAAGGCGGATCGGTACACTTTTTTTTCGTGTGGGCTTCATACATCTCACCCACTCATTTTTCAGAGCGAGGCCGCGACAGGTATGATACCCCGCGCAGTAAGCCAGGTGTTCAAAGCTGCCGATGACCTGAAGTCCAAAGGATGGGAGTACAAGATGGACGGCCAGTTCCTTGAGATTGTACGTATTTTAACGTTGCACCGCAGGGACTCGATTGAGAAGAAAATGCGCAGTACAACGAAACAATCAACGACCTTCTTGGTAAGGGTGAGTTCGACAAGAAAAAGCATGAGATCAAGCACGACAAGTCCGGTACTCGTGTCACCGATGTTAACGTGATGTCTCTGCCGTCTCCCGCGTCTGTTACCTCCCTTCTCCGTGTCGCCAACTCCCGGCGCACCGTAGCAGCTACCCTCATGAACGAGCGTTCATCGCGTTCGCACTCTGTCTTCACACTCCGAATCTCTGGTATAAACACCCACACCGGTGAGAGCTGTGAAGGCAGCCTCAATCTCGTGGACCTGGCTGGTAGCGAGCGCCTCAACTCAAGCGGGGCTGCGGGGGACAAAGACCGCCTGAAAGAGACGCAAAACATCAACAAGAGCTTGAGTGCACTCGGGGATGTCATCGCTGCACTAGGTGAGAAAGGAGAAAAAGGAGAGAAGCACATTCCATATAGGAATTCGAAGGTGATTTGCGGGCTTCTTGGTCCTATACCTTCTGATCGACGCTCACTCGGTTTTCTAGCTGACGTATTTGTTGCAAAACTCGCTGAGCGGAAATTCCAAGACCCTGGTGAGCGCGAGATCTAATTACGGAGATGTTAGTGTAACATGATCCTGTGGCAGATGATCTTGAACCTCTCGCCGCTGGCGGCACATCTGAACGAGTCACTCTGCTCCTTGCGATTCGCGACGAAGGTGAACCACATCGTTGTTCCATGCGGTGACTTCTAAGCCTTTTGCAGGTAAATAATACCATGATTGGAACTGCCAAGAAACAAATCCGAGGATCAAGTTAGCCGTCGGTCTAATGTCTGCCGCCCCACGTCATCGTCGCTGCTTTCGTGCAGGCGGATTGCGCTTCGTATTTTGTTATTCTATAATATAGCCGCCGTGTCGTACGCAAAATTTTTATGCATATCGCTTGACGTCAAGAGAATGGCCGTGAAGCGCATTTGTCGTCCGCTAAAGGGAAGGATGATCAACAGCATGACATGATGAACACATTATAGTCCATCATCCGCGTTGAGTTGCGGATCATAGTGCTCAGGGGTACAAAATGTATAATCATCTTCGTGGATTTGTCGTGAGGGATGTCTTCATCGTGGTTTTATCGTGTGAAGCACGCACCAAACACGTGGCTAATGCTCATGCGATGACAACTTCTAAACCCCCAAAATAAATGCCTAATGAAGGATAACATCAACCACGGCCCGGGGTATGTATGTATATGCAACTAGTGTAATTTGCTTGTAATTTGCTTCGAGGCTGTTATTGACTTCATGACGTGGAAGACTTGTCCTTGGCTTCCCGTCTTACGTCGCTCGTCCATTTGAAAAAATTACACCGGTATCGGTGATCCACCTCTTCGCGGAGGCGTTCACTTTTACCTTTGTCGTACCCCGGACCGACCGGTCTAAATGAAAGGAATTAGATAGAGGCGAAATGAAGGGCACCGATGGGGCAAACCTCGAACAGAGGAAAAATATTTTCCCCTTGTTTGGACCTGGCTTGTTAACGGTGTGCTCCTTTGCAGGTTCACCGTGTACAAGGCAATTTGGTGGTTGGACGGGAGCCATCAGCTGCGACCACGCTGCTTTACTTTGCGAAGCCGAAGGCATCGCTGAGGCAAGTAAGTCCTGTGAAAGTGGATTTTCAAGTGAAGCGGAAAGTTCGAGTGCGAGCTGATAGTCGGACTCTGTGTAGTCCCGGTGATCGGTGAGGTCGTCAGGAGAAATTTCCTGGCTGCAAGGCGGCGAGACTGACGGCTGCGCAAAGAACGAGGAGAGTTTGCTTTGACCGCCTTTCAATTTCTTGGGTACTTTCTTAGTTGCATTGTCTGACGACTTGCGTTTGGCAGAACTAGCTGGGGGCACAGTTTGGCGTGACGAAATGGGATTGGAATGTAGCGATGGTACGAGGATCTGACTCGTGGATGTGTACACGGACTTGTGAGAGCTCAGCGGGGGATGCACTGGAGGTGGAGTAACAACGGCAGGCTGCGTATGATCGGGCTGTGCAACATCAGAATGTTCACTGTGCAGTTGTGTGTCTGGAGTGGGCGAAAGCGAAGAAAGTGGAGAATCTTTAGGTGAACACAGCTTGTTTCCTTTCCCGAAAAACGTAGACAGTAGCGTCTGCTTCCCGGAATACTCTTCCCATCGTCGTGCTGCGAGCTGAGGCAGGTCTTCTCGATTCCCACCCATTGGCAAGATGTCACGGAGGAATAATCGTTCGCCACCATCAGTTGTTATTTCATCGTGAAAATCAATATATATTGGACAGTGATCAGAACCTCTGAGCGATGGCTGAATGTCACCGTGCTTGATCCAGGGAAGCATACCGGGTGTGACGAGAATGTAGTCAACCCGGGTACCATAATTTGTCTCTCGAGCTGAAATTTTCATGTTCCAACCTAACATAAAGAGCACAGCATATGAACGATGGGAAGAGATGGACCAGACTTGCGTCTTACATGTGTACATTCCTTTTCTGCCAGGCCAGAATGTCCGCACGGCATCAGTCATGCAACCAATGGGGCTCAACCATCCATGAAACCACGCACGAGCAGGATGGTCGTAGAATGTCGCAGTGTTACTAGCAAGATGACCGTCGCAGTGGTCCAATGGCGTTGCACAGACATTGATGTCACCGACGACCACAACTTCCCGGCCTTCATTCATGAGCTTTCGGACTCGATCTTGCAACATGATATGGAAATTTATTTTGAAAGGAAGACGAGCATCGGAAGTTTCGTTTGGACAGTAGACGTTGATCAATACGAATAGGCCAAAGTCTACGATCAGGGCACGGCCTTCCGCTTCCAAGGCAGCGAAATCACTTGGGGTTGATCCATGCTCGTCCGGCATTAGTTCGATCTCATGTGCGCAGGGATATGAACGAGATATCCGATCATCCGACGTCAGAGGTGGCTTAGGCTGCAAGATGCCGGAGAGACCCTCCTCTGCCCGGAGTGGAGTGACAGTGCGGGAGTCAGCGTAAACTGCGACACCACTATATCCTCCTTTATTCTGTGGGAAGGAGAAGAAAGCTTCAAAATTGTCTGGTAAAGCAACACAGCGTGGCAGGTTGGAACGCGAGGTTTTCATTTCTTAGATAGATAAGGTTTGGGCATTTGACAGGGGAAGGTGAAATGAATGAACGACTCGCACCTTGAAAGCAGATTATATCTGCCTTGAGATGCTCCAGAATTCCTTGGAATGAAGTGAAGGTATTCCATCTATGGTTTTTAGGCTCTTCAAGTAACCAAGTGGAAATCATGGATAACTCACGGGTGATATTGAGGAAGAGTCCTGACACCATTCTGTCGTGCAAAGCAGAATGTCAGAGTGCATTATTTTGTGAAAGAATACAGGTCATTTCTTACAATGTTCCATGAAAGGATTCGCATAGTTCATGAGTGCGTTAAGACTACGGACGAGCTCGACTGGATCTAAGTACTATACTGAGTGAGCCTGACGGAAGTCAGTTACAACATGTGTTCAGTGGAGACTGAAAGAACTTCCTTTTTCGGCACAACGGACCGGTCAACAAGTCACAATCAAGACGACTGTGACACTGCGATGCAGCGGGCTCCTGCCACAGATTTTATTAAAGATGATACCGGCGGCTGCACTAGATCTCTTACTTTTCCACTGAATCATTGACAATCGGTTCAAATGGTTTAGGGATATCTTTCACCAAGTCATGGAAACCTTTTGATACCTCACTCCGTAGCACCCTGAGAAGCCTGAGATTATGACATCCTTTTACGGAGTTCTTCGTGCAGGAGACGGAGCTGTACTGGAAGCTACGATAAGGACTGTCCTGTACGTGGTCATTTACTTCTGACTGAGCATTGACCATTGCGTCTTTAACAGCCACCTGCAGGTTACCACTTCAGTTCACCCCAAATGTGTTAATCTATTTAACAAAAGTTTCACCTCCGCGGCCACAGGCTTGTGCTAGTCGTCTATCTATGGTCATCCTTTGATAATTCACTTACTTGCAAACACGCTGCTTCCGCACGTTTGATCATCAATACCCGATCACACCGTTTTACGTCTACAAGTTGGTATTGAAACCCGTCCATATCGTCTCCCTAATTTTTTTGACCCATTAATGCTTATGTATTTTGAGAATGATTCACCGTAAACTCACTTATTATCTTCCTATCAGCTTTGGCAGCACTCTACTAGAGATTAGCGCAGCTCCACGTCAGGGTCACCGTTGCTTCGTATTCCTCCTCGAGGCCATCACGCTGAGTTCAGTGAGTCTAGCGATAACATGCCGTCATCTTAAATAATTCCTCACTAAGACGTCCAGCGCATGAATTTCGCATTTCGCCTTCAAATCACGACTTCTGCGTGCGGTGCTCGCCTGGGCCGTTCTGCCGTTTTGGAGTGTATTTCAGAACCTTACTTTAGTTCCTCATCCCAACATCAAAACCAGGATCCGATCCTTGCACGTATAACACCCAGGGACGATCGCTGCAGCAGACACAGTAGTGTTTTCTCACTATGTTTCGTGGTACGTCCTCCAGTAGAGCAGTTTTGATCATTCTCACTTATATTCAAGGCACTGGAGCAGCGCATGCTGCTCGTTCTTTCCATGACGCGACCTCAAGCATTCCAAGCCCCTACGCTCGAAATGAAGCATTTACGGACCCTAAACGGAAACAGACCATCATTAGTCTTTTGGATGTCCTGGGCGAGCTCAGCAATGAGGCGTCTTCAGACAACGGTCAGTCGTTTTCTCCACTGGCCATCATATACTGCTAATTGTATATTTCTAGATGCCAACCTTCCTTCCAATTTGAAGATGACCGAGACGTTCGTGAGTGGTCATCAGTACATCACTCAATCGTTGCTTTAGTGGTTTTTCAGCCACTGTGGACGAAAAACTACAAGTTGCAGGATCAGAATTGTTTAACAAATTCGAGAGGTAAGACCCACGTTGTTTCGTCTCCTTGCACCGACCAGTTTGTACAGGCGAATCGATAATCTTGACAAAGAGGTGTGAACGGGTGCAGCCCTGATGCTTAAACGCTCATCTCCCATGTAGCTCCGCAACTTCGCTAACGCTGCCCGCCAACTTGGTAGTTCTGTTGGAATATTGTCATCCGCTTTTCGACTACGGGAACGCCTCACAAAATTGCTGTTTCTGTTTCGCGAGAACGCAGCTACGTTGTTCCCTCGGAAAATTTTGCGTCAACCTCGAGAAACATTAGTGAACCCTAACTTGATGGACCGACGACGCACATGGAGAGGTCAACAACCTCCGCTCAGGCCCATTCATGATGATGGTCTTGATCCCGAAAGTTTCCCCGGTCAATTCGCTAGTTTCGCAGAAGATGTCGTAACGTTCCTGAACTGCCTGAACGAGTTTCCGGAGTTTACAGACGAGGCAGTCAATACGTCAATGCGTGCTTTCGAAGTCGATCTCAAGGTGAACTCTTTGGTTGGCTAGTGTCGTTGTTTCCGTTAATCATATTTTTCTAGTATTGGGCATCGTGTCTTCAGGAGTACAAAGGTAGCGTGTCTACATGGGCTTGCATTGCACGATCTTCTCAACTAGTTTTAGGTCAATTTCGGTACCCAGCAGTGCAGCGCTATATCCACGATTTGACGTCAGAAATTGGGGAGCACATTGATAACATCACGGTCAATCTGTCGATGTTTATCGAAATCGGTATACATCCAATCTATCCTTAGTACTTTCAAACTCACGTTCTCTTCCAGGCGTGCCGACGATTAGGTTCGCCCAGCAGCATGCGGCAGCAAACCTGCTAAACTTATCGACAGTCGCGACGTTTTTCTCAGCTGTGACGGCAACGACCTTACAATTTTCATACCAATTGACAGATGGAGTGCTGGAGAAGTCTGTTAATGCGTTCTGGTTCTCCTCGTTGGTTTTCAGTATAGCAGCCGCAGTGAACAGTCTCCTTGGTCTTACCTGGAAGCAAGCCATGTAGTGGGTCTATCATTCGTCCTGCCCGTACTCATGTCAAATGACAGTCATACAGTCGCTCTCCGGGACATAGGGTACCTTGGTGGGTATTGATATGGATTAAGCGATCGCCTTTAGTCTTTCTCGTCATGTCTGTGGCATGCTTTTCCGCGGGCTTGATGCTTTTCACATACGCTACAAACCAGGTATGGGGTCTTATTCAACTGATCAACGCATGTCTAAGACGTAATGATTTTGATCAGGGATTTGTCACGTCCACGATCACCACTGTCTTTACAGTAAGTCTATTGATGGACCTGCGGTTCTGAATTGCGTCCTTACTCGAGTTCCCAGGCCGTCACTTCCTTCGGCCTGGCTGCCGTCTCCGCTTGGTTCGCCTCAGAACGCTGGATATTCGTTCAGCACCGCGGTCATGTGTGGCTGGAGGATGTAATAAATGAGGCAACTCACCGCATGCTCCTCCTATCTGCTGTTGTGGAATTGCGGAAGATCATCCACTTTTGCAATCAACGCATCTTGGCGACCCGCGGCCTGATAAGACGAGTGTCTTTCAAGAAGGTAACCGGCGCGATTACCCGGTTCAGACATAAGCACCATACTCTTCCCACCACGCAGGAGGGCCCGCAGATGCTTGAACTTCCTCACCGCCAGGAGCCAGCTTTATCCGTGTGCTCGGAATATACCGAGCGCCACAATTCTTTGGATGTGCCTGCGAGTGAGGAGAGCGAGGCTTCCCGTCGATCCATTGCCCGTCAGCGCTTCAAGGGAGCCGTTCGTTCTGTCATCATGATGCAGCAAGCGCAAGCGGGGCAGACCCCGCTGTATCTACGGCCCTTCATGCCGCCACGGACCCCCTCTTTTGACAGGACCTCCGCTTCAGGAATGTCTCCCACCCGATTCTCGTCCATCGGTTTGAACACCATTCGAGGACAGAGAGTTTCTACATTGATCCCAAAGCTGAAAACCCTGGAACCCTTACAGGACCTCTCCATACATACCGCCCTTGTTCGGCATCTACAGTTCTCCCCGAACTGGAAAATATCTCGCTACGTCAAGGTGTGTTATGATTTCTTTGTAGCTTCTCGGGCTAATATGCTGCGTCAAGTTGGGATCGGTCTTCCATCATTTTTCGTGTCGGGGTAAATAATGTCGGAGTAAGCACATGAGGTGTCGCGCTTTCACGAACGTTGCTTACACTAATCTTGCCTAGGAATCTTTTTCAACTCAGGCTGTTCTGGTACACGTGCGTGGCTTTATCGGCCAAGTTGCATGGTATGTAATGCAGCGAGTGTTTCACCATCTAAATGCTCAAATGTGATTGGACAGGTCTGCGACCGGTACCATTCTCTTGACGAGATTAACTCGCGGAATCAAGGTCTGGACGGAGGATGGACTCTGTAAGAGAACAATCGACCGACCGCACTCTGTGTCATCTATAACATGGCTGCCTAACAGCGAGAGTAATTAGTTTTATTGTCCTGTCTGATTGTACGTTGCTGATACTTTACGACAGCGCAATTTTTCTCTGTCGAAGGTAGCGATGTTTTCAAACTGGTTAGCGCAACTGTCCTCATTTATATATACACTGATAAATCGTGAACTCTATCTTCAGGACACCCAAGGAAAGGTGATTAAATCACTCGGTGTCAGCAGAATTCCAACTGAACATATTTTAAGGTTCTTGATTCGTATCACTTTGGTCGCATCCAGTTGCACAATGTGGTCGTGACTCCAGATGGCCAGCGGTTACTGGGTGTGGGTCCACTCCTTGCGGCACCTAATGGTTTGCATCCAAGTCGCACCACCAGGGTCGAAAAACGCATAATAGGTGGGCGTTGTGCATGTTCATAGAGGCCATCTGGTTGACTTTGTATAACATAGTTTTCAACATGGAGACTAAAACGTTCGAGAGGTAAGTTGCCTTCTTCATCATTTCGAATTTTTTTACTGATGATGTCAAAAGCCAGACACCCGTCGTGAACGACGTGCGTGACATAACGATTTCCAAAAGGGGTGGAAATGTGTTGATTTCTTTTGAGCGCAAGGTACTGAGAGCTATGATAATATCTTTACATCCTCTGATCACCCACATCGTATCCGCAGACACCTCCGCAGTTGTGGAAAATGGAGCTAGTACGGGATACTAGAGGTCGCGAACAATTTTCATATGCACAAGTCGCTAGGCTGCTTCTCCGCCATACGTATCTGCCCAAAGCTCAGGTGGATATCGCAGGCTCCAGCTACTTTGGGGGAAAGGAAGACCAGTTAGTGCTATGCGCAGGGAAAGGTACGTTTCTCCTAACCTGCTAACTTCATCTAAAAACTATACTTATGAATACTTGGACACAGCGGGCGATATTCACATTTGGGATCGCGATAGTGCAGCGTTGCTACATTACATTAGACCTCAAACATTCGGCGGGGACTTGACATGTGTTGCATGGAACCATTCCACCGACGAACCCTTCATGTTCGCCACAGGCAGCCACGACGGTACGGTACGCATATGGACGACGCCAGCGGGGGACCGCTCTTCTGATGACGCATCCTATCTCGAGCGGCGCACTGATGCCGGTATGACAAGTTCGGATCAGTGTGCGTCTCCACCTATCTTGGCCCCACCGTCTCCGCCTATCCTGGGTCCACCGCATGTGCCTGGATCCAGTCGTCGAGAAAGAGCGCCGACCATACGAACTAAATTCTCGATAGGACCTGGGTAGGACATTGCTAACATCCAGGATGGGCGCCATACAATAGATGATAGATTTGCGTGTTTGCATGTTCGCATGTTCACCTGGGTTTCATATATATTGTCCTCATCGGTATCTTATTCAGAATAGCACAGTTATGATACAACACTGTAATCACATCCTTAAACCCTCTCACAGCTTGAAAATACCTGGCAAATATTGTTTGATTGTGACAACATGAAGCAAGGTTCTGGTCAATCGCTTAATTCCAACTGAAATCTTGCGATGGCGTATATCTTAGCTTCTGCTGGACACATGTGTCTATCCTAAATGGATTTCCCAGTCATACCGCGGAGTCCAAGAGATATGAGTTTCTTTCGAACGCTCGGAGCGCAATTGGGGCGTATCACATGATGATGTGGATCATCAATACGTGACTTCGGTTAGCAGTCATAAATGCTTGCATGCGAGCGATCCTGAAGATGATTCATTTACCAAACGGCGTTTGTGAACACCCCATGGTCCGCCAGGTACAAATATTATGGATCAATGAGGTGTACGCCGCTGGAATGTTTCATAGGTCGATGATCCTTCAGTACTCAATAATGTAGACACCCATATCACGTACTTGGAATTCCTCGGAACTTGGGCAGGACGAGCTGCAGCCTGAGCACGCTTGGCCCAAAATATTTACGGATCCCGAGAGGTCGAGAAACATTGGGATGTTGGTAATGAACTTCTTGAACAGTATTTGAAAAGGCCGCGAGGGTGGAGTGCCACGAAGGTTTTCAAGTATCAGAGTCTCCATCTCTGGGCTGAGAACATCGAACGATCCGTTTTGGCAGCTGCTAGAAGATTCATAGTGTACCGTGGATGACCTTCTAAAGGGTTATCCACCCTGGAGAAATTGGGGTCAGTTCCTGGACCCGTCTCGGTAGGGTACAGGTTTGATACGAGTTGGATGCCGTCAGGATTTTTTTTCCTTGCCTGATATCCTTTTTTGTAATTTCTCTGGTCTACTATTCCATAACTGTGCGATTCCCAAGTATAATCTTGCCGATTGGCTGAGGAAATAGATGGTATACGCGCGTCGCGCGAGCCATTTCAGCATATTGCTCTCTGTCAAATCTTGGGGAATTTCGCACAAGTTGGGCTAATTGAGCACTACTACATAGTATGACGGGCAATAAAGAACTAACAGGATACTGAGGAACGAGTGATGTAGGCACGCAGGGAGTCACTGATGGCCTTACATGGGGAGGTGGACGTGAAGAAATGGAAGAAGAGTATGTGCCGAACGAAAGGGTGACCATATGGCATAAATGCAATTCCTAGTAGGTAATAGGAGATAGGGACTAGGGGTGTGTAAGTGTTGTACATAGAACATTTGGTCTGCTTTCGAGCTATGATCATGAGCTGTCATACGATAAATGTACAAAGGGATAATATTTGTAATGTCAAGTAACCATACAAAATATCTTCGCATTTCAAAATACAGGAGTGACTACTCGCGGAGAGGGCTGTATCTCCACGGGCAAGGCATAGCGCCCTTCAGTCTTTCTTAAGAGCTGAGCAAAAAGTGGTTGAGGATCGCAGCATGTGACATCACCGAAGACTTACTGGCGAACCACTCACGTAAGCTGGATTTTGTAGCTTCATCACTTGCATTCATTATGGATTCGTACGTTGTGAATGCTTCTCCAAATCTGCCCGCCCAAATGAGTGCACGGCATAATTGCTTGTGGGCGGTTTGCCACAATGACTCAAGGTCCCACCCGAAGAGCTGACAAAAATCCCAAAACAAACAAGCAGTTGAGTATGAAAAAGATTCATGGCTGTATCGCATCAACGCACCACGGTGAAGTCCCCATACATACGATGAATTGGCAACTTAGAAAAGAAAGCGCTAGACTTGACAGCGGAAGTGAAATGGTCGACAGCTTCAAGCTTGTGAAGCCAGCTGTCCAAGGCAATGGTGCCTAGTTGGACGCGTAGATACGTCTGATGTGGAAAGCGCGGAACAATCAGTGTTAGCACACGAAACCGGACTTAATACTCACTTTAACGATATGACAAGCGAGAGGATCGGTATCGGGAAAATCGGCGACTAGTTCTTGGACGCGCTGCATTGCCTCCTCGTGTTTATTTGCGTTGAATAGTGCGATAGCCTGCAACTTATAATGAAGCGCGGAGTGTGCAATGAAAGAGTAACCTGCCTTGATCAGGAAAAGTAAATGGGTTGTCTTTGAAACACTGTCAGTTAATGTGACGCAAGGTCAAAAACTTTCATGGCGTCCCGGGACTGCCTTTTCCCGTAGAGGGCAATGCCCTTGGCAATATAGCCTGTTAACGATGGATTTATGCGTATTGACTATGTCAGGATTAATGTGAGCCTAAGTGAAGTGCATGTTGGATAACTTACTTCATTTGCATCTTGAAGTGCATTGGCCCAGTTGAGTTTGCGTGCCATAACAAATGAGCGAGTGGCATAGGAAGTGTAGTCGTTAGGGTGCGCCTTGATCTCTTGCGTGAGTATCTCTTCGGCCGTAAACAATTCTCCCAAGATAAGGGCATTGCGGGCACTCGTGGTGATGGTGAGGATCTAAGGTATGCTCGAATTGAGTTAATTCAGAGTCGATGATGGAAACATGCCTTTGAATCAGAGCTTTGAGCCTTGAAAGCAAAGGGAGGCAGGACAAGATGAATGATCAGATCTTCAGAATAGGGCAGGATAACAATGGGAAATTACCTTTGACTTGGAAGCACCCTTCGGCAAAGCATCCTTGGGTACTGCCCACTGTGAGATCTTCTCATCATCACCTCCGCTGAGTACGTGCTTGCCATCCGTGGAGAAAGTGACACAGCACACCCGGTCAGAGTGCTGGAAGATGGAGATAGTTCGTTGATCTGAGAGGCGCCAGAGACGGACTTGATTGTCATCAGATGCAGAAGCGACGAGCATTCCAGAAGGATGGATCGCAATGACATTGATATCATTAGTGTGTCCCGCCCAGACATCACCGACCTGCTCCCAGGTGGATGCATCCCACTCTCGTATAGTAGGATCCTCATAATTGCCTGATGAAAGAAGGCCAGTGCCATCGGGTGTCCAGGCAAGCGAACAGTTGTATGAGCCGTGAGCATGAAACTTTGCAACACGGTGCCTTGTGCCTGGATTATAAATTTCAATGTTACTGGCTGTTGCGATAGCAAGATGTCCGCCAGATGGCGAATAGCGAACGCAGAAAATACGGTCATCACACAGGATCGGACTTCCTTTCAACTGCCAGGTTTTCGTGTTCCACAACTTCGCCTTTTGGTCCATTGAAACAGTGGCCAGTACTGTGCCATTGGGGGAGAGGTCCAGTGATATGATCCCGGACTGGCCTTTGATGGCTTGGGTGAGAAATTCACCAGTTGCTCCGTGCCAGGCAATAACCTCTCCCTTCTCATCACCACTTGCTATCAATTTCCCGTCTTGTGACACCGCTAATGCCCACACCTCACTCTTATGCCCTGCCATCATCTTCAACAACCCACCTGCCCTCAAGTCCCACATACGAAGCCAGCAGTCTGACGAGGCAGTGACCATACACCGTCTATCAGGGAATACTGCTACTGCGAGTACTGCTCGATAGTGATCATCAAACGCTCGAACGGGTGTGGTGCTGGGATTGAACCAATGCGACATCTTGCTGGAGGCCCGAGGCTAACGATATTGAGCACAGTCAAGATCGACTTGCTAGAGAGATTGTGGCGGTCTCGTTCCAAGTTGCGGAGGTGCGTGCACTGAGCGTCTTTATACTGCTTCACAGCATTAACCTTATCAGAACTCTCAAGACATATGAGGCTGTTATTATAAGCGCCTTCGTGTTGCCGCTGATGAATCGACGAGCTCTCCTGAACATCGGTTATCAACAACAGGTGTTGAATAAAGCTATGGAATAGACTTGGTTCTTCGACCATCGAGACATCAACTTAATAGTAATACGAATGTCCAAGCCCTTCCAGCTCAAATCAAACTTTGCCCTTCAATCTCCACCACGCTCCGAGACAGGACGCTTCCTTCCCACATGTTATAGTCATATTTAAATAACAAGAAAGCCAATTCCTTCCACTGCCGGTACAGGAAAGGTGACAAGACTGTCCTGTACTAAAGCGATTCGACTGAAGTTCAGTCGAATCGCTTTAGTACAGCATCCCCATTTCTCAAGGTTCTTGATTCTTACAACTTCTTTCACATCCCTGACTTGGCAATCCCTGTATATGGCTAGCGGTTGCGTTCACCACTGAAGCCACTTTAAGAAGCATGTGATAGGTGAGTCAGGTGAGTGTGGGGCCACAGGCAACTACCGCAGACACGAGTCACCATTCCTCGCCATCGACGGCGGGTATGGAAATATATCGATTTTGATCGAGCACGCCATAGCGATGGCCATATGAGGTACGCCTATTTCTGCAGCCCGTATTTGCAGAAACGTCCGCAGCTAGCTAGCACAAGATCCTAAGGATCGTAAAAACCCCTCCTCACACGTTGCGTGGCTGGCTATGCGTTTCGCATATCTGTAAAAAGCTCACGTGGATGGATGTCGCGGGTTCAAGTCACGTACTTAGGCGGGAAGGAAGCTAGCAGTATGTGGGCGTACATATACATTTCATCTATACTTGGAATATCAGACAATATCCATATCTAACGAGTACAATGGCATGTGCATATGCTTCCCCTTTCCGTGTTCAAACCAATAACCTTAATCACCAAAGTTAAGTTCACCGTTTTGGCTAAGCCGAGTGCAGCAAATCATGTCTTGGTAATCTTGAACTGTCATTTTCGAGCTGTGGAGTCAGGCTGTACCCGGTGGGACATGTTCGGATTCAGCACGACAATTTGCGTCCGAACTGGCCAACCCATGCCCCAACAGGTATTTGGAGTTGCCCCTTTCCTGTTTCATATGCAGCAATGCGAACTATAGCTCACGGATACTTATTTTGCAGGCACTTGTTTGTGATCAATTGATCCTTGGCCCGTTTGT